TAATGTGTTTAATAATTTTACTTTCATACTTTGTTACTGATTAATTTTGCCTTACTAAATTAAGTAAAGCATTATTAACAAATCACTTGTATTTAAGAGTAGTTGTTTTTTTAAGACCTTTCAGAATGAGTTGGTAAATGATTAATAAAATATTCAAATCAACATTTTTATCATATTATTTAGGCATATACTAAAAGTTAATTGTTTCTGTTTATAAATTAACCCAACTTCAACTAGTTTTATGACCTAAAGTGAGGACTATTTATGCTTTATAAATCCCTGATAAATGACAATTAAAAGTTTAGTATCAAATGAACAATCCATCTTTGCAATATTATCTAAAAATATAATTACTGTAAACTTTAAACATTTCTGAATAACAGGAGTGTCACAATATAACATAAAATTAGATAAAACAAAACAATATAATAGTTTGACAACATAATATGGTACAACATTTCAAAGTTATTTAGCAATGTTTAAACTGCACATTAATTTAATTTCAGTTAAGATGGCAAAGATTTATTTTTCATTTGAGTTTCTCTTGTGTATCTTCAAACAAATAAAAAATTAAGAGTCGTTTTTGTCCTTTTTTTCCTGTTTAGAATATAACTGAGCCTTAAATTGCCATTCATAATGGATATATAAAGCATGAATAGTCCTCCCTTTAAGTCACAAAACTGGATGAAGGTGAGTGAATAAAGCATTTAACATGCAAAGTAACTATAAGCCTGAATAATCGTATATATAAATGTTAATTTAAATAGTTTATAATAATTTACTTGCACATTTTGAATAATGTTTAAAAACCAGCAACTTCTCTAAAATAACTGGTTTGTAAATAAAAAATAATAATAATTAAAGTATGAAAATACAATCATTAAGCACATTAATGTGCTAATAAGTCAAGAATGAGCATTATTATCTACAGTTATAAACTGCTTACTAATGTCTATTAATGTAGAGTTAATGCTTAAAAATTAATCTATTAATTCACTATTTGCTAATGCTTAATAAATGATTCATAATGTGTAGTTATTATGAAGTGTTACTCTATATTTTACAATTTGTATCAGTTCACTATTGTTAATACAACAGTATGCTGTAGCTTTCATTAACAACAAGTTGTAGATGCTTCAATATAGCTAATATAAATATGCAATATTATATATGCAATTACTAATATAGCTAGTAAAAATACTACAGTAGAGTTAAAAACAACAAAGTATTTAATATAAATGATTATAGTATATTTCATGTGGGTTTTCCACATGAAACACATTCAGACATGTCAAAAGAAAAAGAAAAAATGGAAGTATGTGGAAGTGCATCAGCTCTCGATGGTTTGCAAACCCGGGGTTATGCTAATTATTTGCATGTGAAAGGTTTTTAAAAAACCCTGTGTGGCTTAATATAATTCACATGTCTCTTACTGCATTATGTGGTAGAACACCAATGAAAGATTTTACTTCATTCAAAAATAAAATCCAGATTTATTTTGGACTATGAGGGACACCTCATACTATTTTAGGTCAAATAGTTGACCTCCGTGAGCTATACTGCTGCTAACATCACCTCTCTTCTTACCCTTTGACTCACGACTACAACCGAAAGCCACACAATGTGGCATTCTATCAGCAGCTATTTCATCTTCAGAGTTGAGTTGAGGTAGAAATAGCAGCAGCCAGTGCCATTAGCTTACCGAGGTCAACCATTTGACATCAAGCAGTCCGCACCTAAAATAAAGGTGGCTCCATGCTCCAAAATAAATCTGGATTTTGTTTTGAAACAATGCAAACATTCCATTAGAATTTCTATCACATATTTCAGTAACGGACATTATTCATAATCACTCATAGGAGTCTTAACACACAGGGTTCCTTTTAAAGAGGTCATGAACTGAGAAATCAATGATCTATGGACAAATAAGAGGTCACAGTACTATAAATACTATATATAGCTTATACAGAAGCCAATCTGCCAAAACAACCGGCTAAAAACTGCCTTCACAGATGAAGATGACCTGTTTAGCTCCACACATTGATTTTGATATGTAATAGGAAAATAATGAGAGGGGGAAATCTACTCACTAACCAAATCATAGAGATGTTCTGAAGTCTATAGCTAAGTTTTCATCTAAAGATGTGAATAGGACTTTTGCGCAAAACTGGAATATCGCATGAAATATTTAAATAAATAAGAGGTCACAGTACTGTAATAATACAAATATTTATTTATTTAAAGTCTTATAGTGAATATAGATGCCAATCTGCCAAACAAGAAGCTGTGAATGTGTCACTTTATGACATAATCATGTGGCTAAAATATAATATAAATATTAATTCAAAGAGGAAGATAGTCTGTTTAGCTCCACCCACTGATTTTTATATCTAATAGAAAAAATCTACTCAAATCTCCTCAGTAACTAAACCGTTTATATCAGTGTCTCTCAACCACATTCCTGGCGGACCACACACACCACACTGCATGTTTTGGATGTCTCATATATTACAGGTCTTTCAGTCTCTCCTAATGAGCTGATAATCTAAATCTGGTATGTTTGGTTAAGGAGAGATGGAAAATCTGCAGAGCTGGTAGTCCTCCAGGAACGTGGTTGAGAAACACTGATATAATGTTCTGAAGTCTATAACTATGTTTTCCTCCATAGAAGTGATGTGAATTAGACACAATGCTGGAATATTGCATAAAACGTTTGCAAATAAAGCAGCTTTTACATCCAATGAGTCAAAGAGAACAAAACTGTTATGTCCTGATAGACTGGAGCCACATTTTAAACATAAACATGGATGTTGCAGTGGTAGGAAAAGCTACTTTGGGCTGTTTTTCTCATCAAATACTTGTACCTTCTGTAAAGCAAAGAATGCACCGTAGCTGTTGATGACAGACTTTGGCTGAGGAAAAAACAATTCAGATATTTTATAATGTGCTCGCTTTGCTGGTTTGTTCATAAATAACGTCACATCATGCCTATTTTGGTTCTGACACGATCTGTTAAAGCAAAATCACATGACTTTTTTTGAAGCGCATGCTGGAAGTTGTGTTTCCATTGTAGATTATGCACAATTTTTCTTATCAGTACGCCCCCCTCACTTTTAGAGACAGACCGTTTAAAAACAGGTTGATTAATAATTATATGAATGTAAACGTTTGGATGTCAAAGCTGATCATTTAAAAAAACGCAATTAGGAATCTGTTAAAACTTAATAAAAACAAACTAAAAACATATTAAAAACTGTAGCCTATAGGTAAATAATAAACTAGGCTGTGTTTCTCAAAACTATTGTTAGCCAACTAAGGTCGCAAGTTCGTCATTACAAACATAGCTTGTTGATTTGCCGCTTGCCAAATTCATTGCAAAAACAAACATCCGCAAACTGCGTCGCAGACTTTTACGCTTTCCACCACACCTCTAGGGCTTTAGTTAGAGAAGTATATTTTCTGGCTGTGTTCTATTTCCAGTTATCCCCCTATGCCCTATTCATTTCAAACGTTCCAACATTTAATCTTAGAATGATTTAAAAAAGCATTAGGGTCATCTCTCTTAGGTGTAATTTGCTTTCAAAGTATTTTTACAGTTCAGTTTTAGCGATCTTCATATTCACAATTGCGCTCCCTTTGCAGTGCATTTTGAAAACATTGGTGTCATTTTGAACACAGCCATGGCTCATGATGAAAGCTATAGGTGACCTAATTTTGAAAAGCGGAATTTACGTTACGCCTCTAAAAGCTTATAAAAACAAAATATAAAGCATACGTTAATGCTTTTAATTTATAGTAGGTTACTTAATAAGAAATGTATCTGTAGCCTACTGTATATGACATGGGCCTGCTGGTTAGAACATTTCTGCAGTGGTTTAAATGTGTCAAACTTGTTAAAAAGTAGACTGCAAAAAATAAAAAATTAAAATAATATTAATAATAATAATAATAATAATAATATATATATATATATATATATATATATATATATATATATATATATATATATATATATATATATATATATATATATTACTTAATAATAATACATAGCCTACTATTGTAAAGTACAACCATTAACAATTTATTTGATTTACATATGAGATTAGAATAGATGTTAGCTAAGTGGTTTTATGTTTTAGTATAAAATAAAGAATATTCTTAATAATGTTTGTAAAGGAAACACAGGCCCTATATGTGCCGTTTACATATATATAGTTAATATGGAGAGTGCATGTTTTTACCAAAACCAAAACTAAGTGTGTGTGTGTAAAACAATATAATTTTATGCAAGAAATTATGGCATTTTTTCTCTAAAGAAGAGAAGAGCCCTGTTTAGAGTGTCATTAAGCGGGTTTTATGTTATAACTAACGTTTTTCAAACGATGGAGTTGTGACAGAGAAAGTTTTGGGAAACACTCGTCACTACATCATTCTTTTCCCAAATGATGCATCATACTATAATAGTTCAGCCTAGGGTTATGTTGTTGTTTGGGAAACGCACCCCTGGTCAGCTCATTTCCATACCTCTCAACCCTCCTGTTTTTCCTGAGATTCTCCTGTATTTTACAGTTCTATTCCGCTATCATCCCGTAAAGGAATTTCCCCATATTTCTCCCATATTTTCAGTCTTTCTATGAAGGGTGCCAATAAACACTAGAGCCTGTATTTCGAACTACCCGAACTGCTCCTGTCTACAGGCCTGAGTGGGAGAACTACTTTTAAATAAACTAACTAATAAGCTTCATATTGTTGTAAAAACCTTGATAGCATTGTAAATTAACCTCAGAAAACATTACAAAATCAACAAAACAAACAAAAAACAGTTCATGACCTCTTTAAATACTTGTATAAGGCTGCAAAAGGAATGCAATAAAGCCTTGAGATGCTTTTCTGATCACAATTCTGGCGCTCTGTTGTGCCAGTCAGGCTTTGTGAACCATCTGGAGCGTTGCTCTGACAACGGGGGAGGATGTCATGGTAACATTAACGGGGGTTACCGGGGAAACTGTAGTCGCCATGGAGACTGCATCACAAGGCGGACTCGAGGCGTGATCTCTCAGTCCTTCAGTCTCTGATCTGGGAGACGATGCGTCCGACGTGCTTCATTTCCCCCTTCATCCAAACCACCTTTCCCCCTCTCGTTTCCAAACTACTGCGACGTCTCGTTTGGAGGGGAATCTCGAACATACTATTATCAGGCTACCCGTGATTTGAGTTAATCTTAAGATGACTACGTTTCCGCACACCGAGTAACTTTATCACAAAAATAAAGATATATCGTCTTTCATTCTCGTTTAACCAGTTTCATTTGGTACAGGCAAGTCAGATTCAATAGACACACATTTGTTTACATTATTAACAAAACGTATAGTTACTTTTCCACATTCATTGCGTTTAAATGGACTCCGCACTGAGACGTATGGGTGATTCTTCAATTAGGGACACTACTTTTTCTACTACTTTTAAGTAGGCCTACTACTTTTATAACCTAATTTATTAGAAATACAAGAAAATGCTTGTCATGAAATCATAATAACATCTAATATAAATCTATACTAAGATCATGATGTCATATAGCTATTCTGCGATCACAGATATATACACTAGATATCGCATACAGGCCCTGAGCATGCGTCAATAGCGCCGCCATATTTGTACAGTGCTCCCAGGACTAAAGTCATTCAACCACACCAGTCAGGACTAAATCCAATCTGTAAATGCTGGACTTTAGTGTGGTGTACAGGTGTAAAAATGAGCAAAACAAAAAAACAAAAAACAAAGCACAAAGGCCGAAAATTTCAAATTTCATAGGTAAGATTTCGTTTTTTTTTTTTTTTTTTTGTATTTTGCGAACTTTTGTGCTCAGAAAGTAACGTTAATAATGATAATACAGTCTCTTATTGCACTGATCATAAGGCAAAGTAGCACCAACTCTCACTAAATTTGTTGAATAAAATAAGCAAACAATGGAAATGAAGCTTGACAACAAGACGCCGATGGCAGAAACTTCAATTATTGTCAGCTAAGTGAAGTAACGGCTAGTATTTGACGTAACTTATAAGGGTGCCTGATAACATAACAGTGCCTGCGCCTCAATGTGCATAAAGCCCACCCTATATATTGAATATTACAAATGTTATATACCATTTTGATCAGAAAGGTGGCTATGAACATTGAGGCGCAGGGATATTGATGGTTAAAATAATAGAGTTCATAATAGAGATTCGTTCACAAACGAATAACTGCCTCCATTAGAAATAAGTGAAAGCCAGAGATATATAAACATATATACATATATCTATGATCGGGAGTTTTCCTAGTGGTCAGTGTGCAAATAATTTTTAAATTACGAAAATGATAATTTTACATCAATTTTCTACATTGATGGATAAGTGACCGCACGGGCATTGCCAACAAAGAGCGTGTTTGTGTGCATAGAAATGTTTTATCCTCCCTACCTGTTAAATTTGATCTAATCCGTGTCTTGAAGTAAACTAATTCTAATTCTTACGGAGGGAGCGATTCATTTGTGAAGCCGTTACTTCACTTAACTGACTATAGTACAAGTTTCTGGCATCAGCTTCTTGTTGTCATATTTCATTTACATTGTTTGTTTATTTTATTCAACAAAGCTAGCATAAGCCTCGAATTTAGTGCAAGTTGGTGCTAGCTTGCCTTATGGTGAATGCAGTAAGTATTATCAATAATACTTGTTGAGCACAAAAGTTTGTAAAATACAAAAACGTAAAAACGAAATCTTACCTATGAAATGTTCTGCCTTTGTGCTTTGTTTTCTTTGTTTGCTTGTTACTACACCCGTACACAGCGCTTAAGTCATCATCTTCAAATTGGATTTAGTCTTGACTAGTGCGGTTGATTGACATTTGTCCTGGGAGCACTGTACAAATATGGAGGCGCTATTGATGCATGATCAGGATCCAAATGCGATATCTAGTGTATATATCTACGCCAATAGACAACAACAGCATAGGCAACATCAAATGTTAATATCTATGTTCTAAGGTGTTGAGATCATAGCCATCACAGCCAAGTATAAACATTTTCTTAAAAAAAGTTAACTAATTACAAAAATTATCATTATTGTTTATAAAAACTGGCAGTTTTCACACACAAGCAGTAAATTAATGAATTTTTTTTAAAGTTCTTTGTAAAATTTCCCTGATTTAAACACTTTTTTTGATAAAGGTATTGTAGAAGAGAAGTTAAAAACTTGATTTTAGCACTCTTAAAATGAGGATAAAGCAATTAAACATCCATTACTTTAAACCTAAGATATGATTTTTGGTTTATTTATAAACTTTTCTATATTTAAAATCACCCTAATTGAAAAATCACCCGTATATATTTAACAAAATACATATGATCAACACAGCATTATCTTCAGTTTGTTCACATCAACAGCGACACATATTTAGTTGTTTCACTTTGCCACGAAACGTAAGATATTGCGAATACTAACGTATTATGATGATTATATGTTAACACTGATAACAAACGCAGACTTACGAGCACAATATTTGCAGTGTGGGTGCTTTATCGGTTTAGTCCCTGACCTTATCCTTCGTGCTGTAGACAAATGCAACACGTGAATCGGAGTTTGGCACCTTTCTACTAAAAAAAAGCGCCCTGATTTACTGATTTAATATGCTGGCTTGTCCTTAACATGTAGGGTACAACGGATCTAAAAGCCTCTCCAGGGTAAGTGATTTATTTAGTCCCGGAATACTAAGTAATTTCAGCCAAAACTACCACAGTACTTTACTAAACACCTGTTTGTGCACTTCTGAAGTGTGATTTATGAGGTATGCAATGACAAATGACTGATTTATATTGCAAACAGAAATAGATGAGTTTTGCTGATGGTATTTTTATCTATAGTATCTGTTGAATAAGAGTAACCTAACTAAAACAACACCGTTAGTTTCATAACGGATGAAGATGCTGGCTACTTGTAATGCGACTAACTGATTCTTATTTTATCTGACTGCACTTGCATTGTTACTCTAAAACTGAGTAAATAAAACACTGTAAATAGCTACAAGTTTGCTGAAATCGATATTATACTACTGTTCAAATGAGTGGGATCTGTGAGAAGTTTGTAAGGCTCAAACATACAATCAAAACAGTAATATTGTGGTGTTATTTTAGCTGTTTTCTTTTTGAATTTATAATAAATGTGATTTATTCATGTGTTCCAAAGCTAAATTAACAGCATCACCAGTCCAGTGTTACATGATGCTTCAGAAATCAGTCTGATATGCTGTCTGTTTGCTCAAACTATAATCACTTTCCTTCTTATCCTATTAGTTTTGCTCTCAGTTCATAAAGAGGGTCACTATTATTATTGCTAAAACAATTTTGTCTGCTTAATTTGATTAATTTATTGATTTTCTGTGGAATTTGTGATGTGTTTTACTTTATATATATATATATATATATATATATATATATATATATATATATATATATATAAGGGCTGCACAATATACCGTTTCAGCATCGATATCGCAATGTGCGTATCTGCATTAGTCACATTGTAAGATACGTAATGTTGAGTCTAAAATATAACTGACCAGGAGCCACAGAACACGGGTGATTTGTAGAGTTTGCACGTGTTTTTAACGCCTGAGACTGAGGATTTCAAGAGAGTTTAGAACATTTGAGCTCCAAAAATTATGTTTGGAGGTGTAACAAACATTTATTATATTAAGCTATTTATACAGAATTGATACGATTTAATCAACAACAAAAACTTTTTCTAACTAGGAATTTTTGTCTTGTTTCGAGTCCAAATATGTACATTTCAAAGCAAAAACAAGATTATTTTACTACCCATTGGCAGATAATGTTGCTTGTTTTAAGGGGAAAAAAGTATTAATTTTGTCTAAAGGTGAAAACAAAACAATAGTTTTACTTGATCTAAGAATTTGTAGATATTTGGACTAGAAACAGGCCAAACGCAAAGGAAGAATAGCATTATTTGCATTGTGATTATTCTATTTTTGTATTTAATTACTGTTAGACTCCACAGAAATCAGCCAAACAGAGCTATTCAAACCATCTAATACATGTAATATCGCAATATCAGATTTCTCTAATATTGTGCAGCCCTAGTATGTATATACAGTTGAAGTCAGAATTACTAGCCCCCCTTTGAATATTTTTTCTTTTTTTTTAAATTTCCCAAATGATGTTTAACACAGCAAGGAAATTTCCACAGTATGTCTGATAATGTTTTTTCTTCTGGAGAAAGTCTTATTTATTTTATTTCGGTCAGAATAAAAGCAGTTTTAAATTATTTTTAAACCTCATTTTAAGGTAAAAATGATTAGCCTCTTCAAGCTATATATTTTTTAGATTGTCTACTTGCCTAATTACCCTAACCTGCCTAGTTAATCTAATTAACCTAGTTAGGCCTTTAAATGTCACTTTAAGCTTTATAGAAGTGTCTTGAAAAATATCTAATATTATGTACTGTCATCATGGCAAAGATAAAATAAATCAGTTATTAAAAATGAGTTATTAAAACTATTATGTTTAGAAATGTGTTGAAAAAAAATATTCTCATCAGAAACAGAAAATGGGGTAAAAATAAACAGGGGTTTAATAATCCAGACTTCAACTGTATATATAAATGTTTGATCATGTCCTTAGTGAATAAAAAAAAACGAATGCTACTTTTGATTGACAATGTATAACAGCTACTCAAAAACATGAAGCAGCACTGCTATTCAAATCAGCAGAATTATAGTTTTACAATATCACTGATTTAGTGTATTTGAGATCAGAAAAGACTTCTCTAAAAATAACTTGAATAATCAAAGCAGTCCCAAACTTTTCAACTGTAGTGTAAACACTTAAATGTTACTCTAAAATATCTTGCTATATTAAAAGTATTTGCATATACGATGACAAATTCTTCCCTCTAGCTGCCTTGTTTATGTTGTTTTTTTCATTTAAACCAAGCTACTTTTAACATTTACTTTTATACAAATTATATTTCTCTTTCTATGTTCCATAAAAATATCGTATTTTGCGACCGGAACAATAAAATCACACTGTCCTCCGCTGTGGAGGACTTTTAGCCCCGCTGTACCCTAATAACGCAGCACCTTGCGTTTGCAGAGGTGCCATCATCGTAGTGATTATTGTACGACTGTCTGGCACTGTACACGATTTACACGTCTGTGAAAATCTTTTTAATATTCACGCAGTTTTGATTGTTCTGGTTGGAGTAGTTTGGCTGTTTGAAAGCACTATTTATTCCTTCCTCAATGACCATATATTCCGATTTGCTGAGGGAGGACGTGCTTTGTGTCCGTTTCAGATCTTCTGTGGAGTTGAGATGCTGACAGCTGCCAACGTGCAGGTATTGTGCGTGCTCTTCCCCATCGGTCTCCCGGTGGTAAAAGTAATTGAAATTGGACACAATGACAGGTACGGGCAGCGCAATGGTCAATACACCGGCGATGGCGCACAAAGAGCCAACAATCTTCCCTCCGATGGTCACTGGATGCATGTCTCCATAGCCCACTGTAGTCATGGTTACCACAGCCCACCAAAAAGCATCAGGGATGCTGCTGAAGCTGGATGTAGGGTCATCCGCCTCAGCAAAGTAGACGGCGCTGGAAAACAAGATGACCCCAATGAAGAGGAAGAAGATGAGGAGTCCCAGTTCCCTCATGCTGGCTTTCAGAGTCTGGCCAAGGATCTGCAGGCCTTTAGAGTGACGTGAGAGCTTGAAGATGCGAAAGACCCTCACCAGACGGATCACTCGGAGGATGGCCAGCGACATGGCTTGTTGACCGTTGCCTTGTCTTTCAGCCAGCTCCGTCCCCAGAGTGATGAAATAGGGAATAATAGCCACAATGTCAATGATATTCATGATGTTTTTGGAAAAAGTAGCCTTGCTGGGGCACGCGAAGAAGCGCACGAGCAGTTCAAAAGAGAACCAGATGATGCAAAGGGTCTCGATTACAAAGAAAGGGTCTGTGAAAGTGCTGGACACGAACGGGCCAGTGACGTTTGCGATAGGAGACACAGTAGTCGGGTCCTTGTCGTCCCTAAACTCGGGCAGCGTCTCCAAACAGAAAATCACAATGGAAATCAAAATGACCAGAACGGACACGATCGCGATGCCCCTCGCAGGACCGGAGCTCTCGGGGTACTCAAACAAAAGCCAAACCTGTCTCTGAAATTCGTGGTCTGGCAGAGGTCGCTCCTCTTCCTTGATGAAGCCCTCGTCCTCGCGAAATTTCTCCATGGCTTCCTCTCCAAGTTGGTAGAAGCGGATTTCCTCCGAGAAGATGTCAATGGGCACGTTCACGGGTCTGCGAATACGCCCCCCGGACTGATAGTAGTAGAGAATGGCATCGAAGCTCGGTCGGTTCCTGTCAAAGAAATACTCGTTTCTCAGCGGGTCAAAGTAGCGCATCCTTTTCTTCGGGTCCCCGAGCAACGTGTCCGGGAACTGGTTGAAAGTTTTGAGCTGGGTCTCGAAGCGCAGCCCGGAGATGTTGATGACCACCCGCTCGCAGCACTCGTGGTCGGGCTCGTAGCGATCCAGCGACAGGTGACTGGGCAGCGCCGCCGTTTCCTCCAGCATGTTATCGCAGGCGACCACCGTCATGATGTCCTTCTCGGTCTCCGCGTACCCGTGGTTGTCGGCGTTGTTCCCCCGGTGGCTGGCTGAGGGTGAGTCGATGAGGTTGTAGTGGTCATCCATACAGGTGAGGAGACGGAGCGGCAGAGGGCGACCCGCCTCCCCTACCTAACATCGGGTGAACTGACGGGCTTCTCTGTCGTGCGTTCTCTTTTCGCTTCTTAACACACTGTCGCCGCCCCACCGAGCTTTATAAACACATGTCTACTCCCGCCCACGGCGAGCATATGCCTGACACATTTCCAGCACTCGCCCAATCGGAGCGCAACTAGACAGGAGCATCGATCCTTGGTGAGCGCGCCTGTGTTTTGCCTCGCGCGCACGACGCGAATCATTCACAAAGTACAAAACACGTCTCGAGCTCTGCAACAATAGCAAAGGCGCACTCTCACATACAGTGTGTGAAGTAGACGAAGACCTTTGAAAACAGCATCTGCTCTTTATCTACAGGTTATTTCCATGCAACCAATATCGGATTTTTACACCTGTCGCAGTTGCAAACTTGCAAGTCTTGATAATTACATTGCAAAATAAGTCCCTTTGTCGATACTGAAGGGAAAGCAAACTGTTGCTATGGTTACCTCATTACGCCAACGTCATGTGACGATTTATATATTAAGACTGCAAGCATTAAGACCCATTCCATGATGACTTGCAATGATAGGCTGATCGAGGAACTTATTTCCACACATCAAGAATGTCACTTGTGCTATCTATTTTAACATAGTGTGAAAGTTTATAAGAAATATTATGATGTCGTTTCGAATTTGTTTAAACGGCTCACGTTTGTCATTCTTGCAAAAAGAGCTTAACGTAAATAACACTTTCCAGTTTTAACACACTGGAATGATTGCTATTTAACGCATGAATAATTTTCTCGGGCTTTGCCTGAGTGGAGCGTTGATTGGCTGCACGTTCCTGGGAAGCCGCGGAGCTCTCCAAGGTGCTGAAGCTGTGCACGCGCTTCCAAGAGCGCGCAAGAGGAAAACACGAAGAGATTGACCTGCATCTGCTGAATTAAACCTCGTCTTCACAAGTAGACGTTTGTACCGCGCTCTTTCGTCATTTTCTGAGTCTAGCGCTGATTCTGTCAGCAAATCAAAGATGCACTTGTAAAATAGGGGTATCATGTAAAGCCAAAAGGTGACGACATGAAAGAACCATTTTGGTTACCTAAAGATCTCTAATCATTTTTTTAAACTGTGGTGTCCCCACACAGCAACAAAAACACAAACACATGTCTTTAAACTTGTATACACACTCAAATTTATACTTAAACATTCGAAAATTTACATTAAAAACACGAACATGTATAGTCTGCATGAGCATTCCTAATTTTAGCATTTACAAAAGGTAAGAAATAAAACCCTCTCTGCACCTCTAGAGACAGACAGTCCTCAGTGCTGCATCTTGTGTTTGTACCTGCAGCTGCTGGAGCCTCTGGAGCAGTGCTGGATCATGCTACTTTACCTTTTGTGACATTTCAGCATTGAACCTCCATGTACAATGCAGTAGAAATGAGTAATTTAAAGAAAAAAACTCATGACCTACCATTAAGACAATGAGCTAGTGAAGCACCCTTCATAATGTTTACAAATTACAACCAAAATGTGGATTTAACTTACACTATATTTTATGGTGACAAAATCTGAGCCTTACTGTCAGTATAAATTAAAGATGTTTGTGGTTATTAGGAGTAAATGATTGTACTTTTGAACAAAAACTTTTTGTTAACATAAAAAAACATTAAAGAATCCATCCAATAAAATGTTTTATGGCCTGTGGCTTAGTTATTTCACCCATTTTATATTATTCACTTTTTCAGAAATCACAGAATATCAGTCAGTTTTTGTTATTTCATATAGTAATGTACAGAAAATGAAAAACTGGCCAATTAAAAACACCAATACACCGAAATAAAGACTAAAGAGATACAGCGAAATTAACTTGGCAGCTCTCAGAGAGAACATCTGCAAGAGGGAAATGCCACAGCCATATCACCCTGCAGCCCAAGACTGGTTACACTGAAGCCTGGCCTGTACCTGGATGGGAGACCACATGGGAAAACTAGGTTGCTGTTGTAAGTGGTGTTAGTGAGGCCAGCAGGAGGCTCTCAACCTGCGGTCTGAGTGGGTCCTAATGCCCCATTATAGTGATGAGGACTCTATATTGTCAGTGAGCGCCGTCTTACGAATGAGACGTTTAACCGAGGTCCTGACTCTCTGTGGTCGTTAAAAATCCCACAACACTTCTCGTAAAAAGTAGGGGTGTAACCCTGGTATCCTTTCCAAATTCCCTCTCGACCCTCAACCATCATAGCCTCCCAATCATCCACATCCACTGAATTGACTCTATCACTTTCTCTCTACTCCACCTATAGCTGGTGTGTGGTGAGGGCACTGGCGCTGTTGTAGTGTGGCTGCCAAGTGGATGCTACACACTGGAGGTGGTGTAATATACACACACACACACACACACACACACACACACACACACACACACACACACACACACACACACACACACACACACACACACACACACACACACACACACACACACACACACACACACACATACACATACATACATACACTGTATGTGTATATATATATATATATATATATATATATATATATATATATATATATATATATATAAATAAATTATTAGCCTCCCTGAATTATTAGCCCACCCTGTTTATTTTTCCCCCCTATTTCTGTTTAACAGAGAGATTTTTCAACACATTTCTAAACATAATAGTTTTAATAACTCATTTCTAATAACTAATTTATTTTATCTTTGCCATGATGACAGTAAATAATATTTTACTAGATGTTTTTTAAGAGGCTTCTTTACAGCTTAAAGTGGCATTTAAAGGCTTAACTAGGTTAATTAGGTTAACTAAGCAGGTAATTAGGTGTTATTGGATAATGATGGTTTGTTCTATAGACTATCGAAAAAAAAAAACAAGTTTAAAGGGGCTAATAATTTTGACCTTGACATGTTTTCCAAAAAAATTAAATCTGCTTTTATTCTAGCCAAAATAAAATAAACAAGACTGTCTCCAGAAGAAAAAGTATTATCAGACAAACTGTGAAAATGTCCTTGCTCTGTTAAACATCATTTTGGGAAATATTTAAAAAAGAATAAAATAAAATCAAAGGGGGGCGAATAACTCTGACTTCAACTGTATGTAAATACACATTACATTACATAACAAGAAATGTATAAAAATAGACAAAACAATAAACAAAGTGCGCTGAATTATAATAATACATACAGGGAAATAAATGTGCAGTGCATGTAGCTGCGCAAACATAGTTGTGGAGAAGTTAAACGTTAGCCTCACTAATTGACATGAACAACCAAAAATGTTTTTCAGATTCATGAACATAAGTTACCTGAAAGTGATGCACAGGATTCATTAGGTACTTTGGGCTCCAGACTGCTGTTGTCTTTTCTTTGGCATAGTGCAACTTGCATCTATAATAATCTTATGCTGCTAGCAGTTGCAAACGTAAGTGGACATGGGGACGGAAAACAAAATACATCACGTTTTTGCGTTCACCATCAAATGCTTTTTTTTAAATGTACTTATTAACATAATATGACTAAATCTTTATATACACTGTTTTTGTTATTATTACTAAATAATTATTACTGTTTAAAGCAACTGAGATGGTGCCCCCCTACAGAGACATCCTGAATGAAAACCTGCGTCAGAGTGCTCTTGACCTGGGACGACGGTTCATCTTCCAGCAGGACAATGACCCAAAGCACACAGCCAAAATATCAATGAAGTGGCTTCACAACAACTCGGTGAATGTCCTTGAGTGGCCCAACCAGAGCCCAGACCTAAATCCTATTGAACACCTCTGGAGAGATCTGAAAATGGCTGTATACCGTCGCTTCACATCCAACCTGATAGAGCTTAAGAGGTACTGCAAAGAGAAATGGGCGAAAATTACCAAAGACAGGTATGGCAAGCTTGTGGCATCATATTCAAAAAGACTTAAGACACTGTAATTGCTGCCAAAGGTGCATCAACAAAGTATTAAGCAAAGGCTGTGAATACGTATGTACATGTGACTTTTCAGTTTTTTTTTTTTTTTTTTTAATAAATTTGCAACAATTTCAAAAAACTTTTTCACATTGTCATTATGGGGTATTGTGTGTAGAAGTTTGAGGAAATCAATAAATTTCATCCATTTTGGAATAACGCTGCAACATAAAAACATGTGGAAAAAGTGAGGCGCTATGAATATTTTCCGGATGCACTGTAAAATTCATTTTCCAGCATTTTGTGGAAAGAAGGGATTCATGAATGCAGAAGGTTCTGTTTTTAAAGCACATTCATTGTAAACTCTAGACTTTCTCAGCAAACATTCTCTATTTCCGTGTGTTCTTGCGGTGTTCAACAGAACAGTCTTCAGCACTGTGAAAGCAATAAAAGCATATTTATACAGTTATGAAAAAATCTTTTCACAAGGACATGGATAAATCCTTCAAACAGTACTAAAATTGCTTTTTCTTTCCAGATTTGAGGAGACTGATGCTGTTAGCCTTGATGTGTCCCTTGCACTCAATCTTATCTTTAATAACGGAGCACTTTGACACAAGCTGGTGAGTAGCACAGAGACTCTCTTCATATTCAGCCTCCACTGTCGTCATCAAAAAGCTGTTAAGATGGCAGCTCTCCTACACCAACAGCTTCCCAATCCCGCCCTCTCCCCTTCATCTCATTCATTTTGATTGAATTTTTTAGGTTTATTTGACTGGGGCGATGCACAATAATGATTCAGAAATATACAACGTGCTGGAATTAGCCAATTTGACCATGGTCTCATCCACTCCTCCAACTTTTACCTGGTTATCATATTTTAGAGTCATTACCAATAGGCTCAACAGTGTAAAAGGCAATACCATTCAAAGTTGGATTAATACTGATGCGATGTTGCTGGACAAACAGAAAAAGCTGAGATTTAATCACACTCAAGATCGCTAACACGGCTAGTAAGATTATAATGGACCCCCAGAAGCAGCTTGTGGAACTGTATATTGACCTTATTCTAAAATGCGGAAGTGCGCCTGTTATCGCGATTGTCTTAGAACTTCCGATTCAGTCGCCTATGGGAGAAATGACAAGGAATAATAAACGACAGAAAATGGTCAAACTGCTTGGTCTACAAACAAATGTTTGCATGACTATACAGACCAAGTAGAATAATATAATAAAAAATATCAAATTGCAACATCAAGCAGCGTAACAAGCAGTTTTTAACTTAAAAAAATGAATGGAAGTGAATGAGACCGGAAGTCTCGAGCCAAAAAGATTCAAATGGCAGCGCCCGTTCATCGGCGGAGAATAAGGTGTAGGAAGCTTTGTGTTTGTGCTCTGTGTTTGTGTTATTGTATTTGTGATGTTTGGGAGGCCAAAAATGACTTTCCGCAGGTGTGGACAGTAAAGTTTTCTATTCTTTTTATCTCTACATAATAAATATACATTTCAAAATACATATAAAATGTACTGCATTTCTAAAAAACAACAACAACTTAACAGTCCACCAACAAATAATACCATAATTGATAAAGTATTATTTTTTTCTGTAAATCATTTATATATATATATCATTTCATATATATATATATATATATATATATATATATATATATATATATATATATATATATATATATATATTGGAAAGCACAGTGGTGGAGTGGGTAGTAGCATAATCACCTCAAAGCAAGAAGGTTGCTGGTTCGAGCCTCGGCTGGGTCAGTTGACATTTCTGTGTGGAGTTTGCATGTTCTACCTGTGTTCGCTTGGGTTTCCTCCGGGTGCTCCAGTTTCCCCCACAAGTCTAAAAACATATGGTAAAGGTGAATTGGGTAAGCTAAATTGCCCGTAGTGTATTTGTGAATGAGTGTGTATGGATGTTTCCCAGTGAGGGGTTGCGGCTGAAAATGCTGAAAATGAATATACTATATTGAATTATACTATACATTATACTGTGCATTATTTAACATAAGTAAATGAATAAAATTCCACTATAGTTTTTTAGTTGTTTTATATGTATGAATTGTTGTGTTTATGTCTGAAACGAAACGTAATTTGAATTAAATATTAATCATTAAAAAAAATCTAAAACTCTTAATCTCTACATAATACATACGTATTACAAAATACACATGAATTCATTGCATTTTTAAAAGAAAACAAATAATATTATAGTATCTTTTTTTGGCAGATTGTAATTTTTTTAAGCAAATTATGCATTTTGAATAATCCTATACATTATACTGACAATTATTACAATCATATTATGAAACCAACTGAACACACACTCATCTAAAAAAACAGATATTCAACTGTCTGTCAAAATGACTAATAAATATCAACATGCAGGCAAGGACAACATAAGGACACATAAAAATAGCGTTAATCATTCAATCCTTATGCAAACCAATTCAAATCCCCATTCAAGCACAAACAAGGCCCTCAAATCAAGAGTCCGTAATCATGTTTGTGTATGTGCGTCCTGTCCTCATTCCTGAGCTCATGTTAAGCAATTCTCCCTTTGTGATAATGGCATGGCTTCTCGGCTGTGATGTGTTGCTGATGTCTGTGGTGATTGCACAAGCGAGGATTGGCCAGTCACAGATTAAACAGGTTATTTGCACAGCGGCAGCCGTCAGGGGAGCACAGGGCCGATTCATCTTTGTCAAAAGAAGAGCTCGAGCTAATTAAATATTCATGAGCAGTTTTGGTCATGCCCTCTGTATGAGTCTGCAAATAGTTATGCATTATTAATAAGAGTGAAACCGTTCACATTAAGCGTATAGCGGAAAAAAATACAGCAAGCACAAGCGTGTGGGAAATAAAATACAGATAATGTATACATCCACTCTGTTTGTCTAGACAGCCAGGCAAATATTAGCTGGGAGATTGTAAGGCGTCTGTGGCACTAATTTGTTGGTTGCTGGTGAGCGAAAGCTG